AGAAAATTCATATCCATACAAAAACTTATAGAACTAATAAGTGACTTTAGCAAGGTTGCAGAGTACAAAATAAAGAAAGTCAATTCTATTTCTATATGCAACCAAGGAACAATCTGAAAATGAAAATAAATTTCATTCACAGTGTCAAAAATAGAGTAAAGTACTTAAAAAAAAAGTGAAAGCTCTGGACACTAAAACCCACAAAACATTGACAAGAAATTAAGATCTAAATGATAAGACATTGCACGTTTATTGGTTGAAAGACTCAGTGTTTTCAAAATGGCAGTTCTCAAATTGAGCAGTAAATTCAGTACAAAATCTCAGCAAGCTTTTTCAGGGAAATTGACAGGATGATCCTCAAATTTATATGGAAATGCAAGGTATGGAATAGCCAAAACAATTTTGAAAAAAGAACTATGTAGAAGGTCTTATACTACCTTATTTCAAAATGTAGTATAAAAGCTACAATGGCCAAAATAGTGTGGTATTGACATAATGATAAGCATCTAGATCAATGGAACAGAATAGAAAGCCCAGAAATAAACTTTTCAAAAAAGGTGCCCAGGCACTGCAACAGGGAAATGGGGAAGTGATAATACTGTCAATAAATGGTCCTGGGAAAACTGAATATCCATATGCCAATTAAATTGAACTCAAGTCTTTACTTCAAACCATACACAAAACGTAACTGAAAATGTATAGTAGAGTTGAATGTAATGGTTAAAACCATGAAACATCTAGATGAGAACATACAAAAGAATCTTTATGACCTTAACTTAGGCAAAGATTTCTTAGATATGACACCAAAAGCATATTCCATAAAAGAAAAAATAAACTTCATAAAAAGTTTAACACTTTTGTACTTCAAAAGCATCATTAAAAATGAAAAGGCAAATCACAAGCTGTGAGAAAACATTTGCAATCATATATGGGATAAGTAGCTTATATCTAGAACATATAGAACTCCTGCAGCTCAGTAAGATGACTCAATTAAAAATAAGCAAAATATTTGAATAGTATCTCACCAAAGAAACTATAGAGCAAACATTACACTTAGATAGGTGCTCAGAATCATTAGTCATTAGGAAAATGCAAATTAAAACCAAAAATATACCAGCTCCTCTTTCTCTCAATGACTATAATCAATTAGGGTGGTAATTCCAATTGTTGGCAAGGAAATGGAGAAACTGGAACTATCATACATTTCTGGTGGGGAGAGAAAATGGTACCACTATTTTGGAAAACAGTTGGGTATTTCTGAAAAAGGTAAATAAATTTCCCATAAGACCCACAATATGAATTACTGTTAAAAAATTAAAAAGGTAAATACATGATACAGCAATTATCAATTTGACTATCATTTAAATAATTCATAGCCCCTTCCATCACTCAGCTTCTAAGATCCTTTTATGCACAGAAGTTTTAGCACTAGAGATCACCAAAATAACACTGAATTATGCATCTGAAAACNTCTCAATTCTACTCCACTGGTCTGAATGTCTACTTTTATAGCAGTACCATGATGTTTTGGTTACAATAGCTTTGTAATATAATTTGAAGTCAGGCAGTGTTATGCCTCCAGCTTTAATTTTTTTTTTCCCCCTCAGTATTGCTTTGGCTATTCAGGGTCTTTTGTTTTTCCATATAAAAGGTAAGATTGTTTTTTTCCATTTCTGTGAAGAATGT